AATCTTATAATGATAATCGACGTTTAAAATGAACAACATTTTTTAATTCGTCAATAATTTCATTAAAATCTAATTTACATGCTAGTTCTTGTTCTGTGAATATTAGTAGTAATGATTCTAGTCTATCTTGGCACATAATACATCTGAGTTTATTTTTTACAATGCTTAATTTGGAAAATACCCTTTCACATGTGCAACTTGTTACTGGTATTATGGTAAACATTTTTAATACTAAATACATATTGTTAAAAATGTCTAACCGTCCACTCTCTTTTAACCAATCTAACCACACATAAATAGATTCACTGGATGTACGACTTGGTACATCAGGCATATGTTTGAGAATTTTAATTTCAGTTTCCAGTTCATCGATTGATATATTGAATAATTTAGATAAAATATTTGAAAAACTGTTATTTAATTCAAAACTCAAATATCATAACAGCCTGTAAACCAACATGATGCTAGATCCATTTTTACTCGTATTCGGAAAACTTTACTATCGCAGTGACACATTGGCGGGGTACGCTACGCGGGGTCGGCTTGTTTACCACGCCACATATCCATGTACCCCGTTATCAGTAGATCACTTAACTAACAATAATAATAATATATATATATATATATAATTATTATAAAACACATGATTCTGTTCGATAAAAGTATAGAACTTCTTATCTTTTCGAAGAAATAAAACCACTACTGTTTTATAATAATTGGATTTTTCAAGATTTAAAATGTACACTTAATTAATAATTAGGACCCTTGTCGTTTTTGGTGAAGGGTCCGGGGGTGCCTGGGCACCCCTGGCACCCCCTGTGCGCACGCCTATGCTAATGAGTATGGTCTACAACAGTCTATTATATTATGATCAATTATCGATAGGTAATATTGATATGATGACAAAATAACAAGTGAACATTAGGTATACATTTACCATATTAAATAATATTACAAGTTACAACAGTTGATTAGAAATATTAAATATATTATATAATACCTATTATATTATAGACCTATAGGTACTAGTATAATAATAATCAATGGATAACGTATTAACGTAGAAAATAGAAATGTATATGTATAATGTAGATATGAGATGGTAGGTACTGGGTAGGTAACTGTTTACCTTAATAATTATAGGAATCTATGCTATAATACAACTTACTCACTAATCAATATGAGTGGCCTACCTATCAATAATGGTTCAGTTAATCATTATTTTAGATTCTGAGTGGAACGCTGAATGTATTGATTTTACAATGATGTGTATTTTTTTTTTTATTTTTTTTTTTTTTGTGTCTGTTATCACCTTTTAGGACAGTAAAAGTGCTTGGATTTTCTTCAAAAGTATCTTTTCTGATAGGAAAGTGAATCTAGTTGGTACTTTGGGGGGGAGGGGGGTCAAAAGTAAAAATTTCCCAGTAGTTTTCAAAAGCGCCTTGAAAAACAAAAGAAAAATTAAGGAAAAACGGGAATTTTTACGCAAAATCTGGTTTCGAGTAATTAGATTTTGGTTTTCGGTATAACTTTAAAACAAATGACCGTAGATACATGAAACTTTCACTGGTTGTTTATATTTGCATTTCCTATACACGATAAAATTTTCAAAATATTTTGATTTATTTTGAACTGTTTAGAGACATTTTCAGTTTCCAATTTTATTAGTTTTTTTTTTATGAATATCAATAAAAATGTACTTTTTGAGTAAAAGTACTTAAAAATTTAATACAAAGCTACTACTATATTGTTTCAAAGGCAGATGAAAAATATTAAAAATCCTTAGTCACAGTTTTTTTTTTATAAGCATTTAAAGTTCAAAAATTGACAAAATATTTAAAAATCACGAAAAATCAAATTATTTTGAGTTAAGAATTCATAAATATTTTTCTTTTTAAAACTAAGTTTTTTAAACTGTAATACAAATTTTCTTATAAGATTATTTACCTTTATTAAAAAAAATGTCTATAACAAAGTCAAATTAAATTTTTAATAGCGTTTCAAATTCAAATGTTTACAACATTGGATATTCACTCGATTTCTCGTGTAGCGATTTCCTTATTTTGTTGTAATTCAAAAACAAATACCTGTAGATATATGAAAATTTCACTTAATGTTTATATTAGCATTTCCTATACACCATACAATTTTGAAAATATTTTGACTCTTTATGAGCTGTTTACGGACATTTTCAGTTTTCAAATTTTTTAGTTGTTTATTCTATAAATATCAATAAAGTTTTATCGGTTGGGCTAAAAAGTGTAAAAATGTAATACAAGGCTCCTGATATATTGTTACAAACTCAGTTGAAAAATATTAAAAATATATAGGCACAATTTTTTTTTTATTAGCATTTAAAGATCAAATTTTGACAAAATATATCAAATTTAAAACTGAATAATTATTTTGTAGTTAAAAATTTATAAAATGTTCAACTTTTATATCTAAGGATTGAAAATTTAAAACAATATTCCACGTAAGTTGTTAATTCTGTTACCAAAAATCTAAAAAATACATAAGCAAATTTTATTTTTATAGTCATTTTAAGTTAAAATTTGGACGAAATTACATAATAAAAAACCTAGAATAACTATTTTAGTTATTTTGTTGTGAGTTAATAATATTATTCGTGGGCACTTGAAACTTCTAAAGTACACTATCATATATCTATGATAGTATCAGGGTTTGTTTTTGATGTATAACGCGTTATAAGTACCTAATGGGTATTGTGATATGATTTATTTGGAATTTATTTTAGGTCAATTTTTTTTTTAATACCATATAGATATGTATATAATATGTCTTATACCTACCGGCTACCTAGACGGCTAGACTGACATATCGTCTCCGCTCAGAAACGTTTTTCTTATACAATGATATTATATCATTGAATTCAAATTTAATACTATCTATTATACAGTAACACACTTGTAACCTACTGTACCGCAGTCCGCAGAGCACCTTTTTTTTATTCATTATTCAAATATACCTAATTATTACTATTCTTGTTGGTAAATTAAAATAATTAGGTATATTAAATTAATTGAGTATCAACTGATTTTCTAAATCTATTTTAATATTGTTATAAGATTCCTTATAAACTTTTATTTAGGTAATTTTTAAATTTTCTTTGTTTTTACTAAAACTTTTAGAGGATATCAGAAATAAATTACACTCACCATTTTAAAATGGGATAGGAAATTAAAATAGTCAATACCTATTCATTTAAGCAAACTAATAAGAACCAATATAGGTAGGTACATAAACAATATTAAAAACTGAAATAGGTATTTTAACTTTTAAGACAATAATTATAACAAATTCCACGAAATTTGTTAAATGCGTATTCATACAAAACAACAACAATTAAAAACTCAACGCAGGGGTGAATTTTGGTAGATATAGAATTATATAGAAACCGGTTTAGTTTCTAGATCCTTTTCTATTTTATTATAATTTTTTTATTAATATAATTTTAGTTGTTTTATCAAAACTCAAAATGCTTGAAAATGATTTTAAATTTTAACTATATATTTTATTTTATATTATTTGACTATTTGACTAATGTTTGTGCAGACTGTGCAGTAATGCAGTATACTCTGTGATATTTGAGCTAATTTTATTAGAAAGTAAAGTGTAATCTACTAATTTTCGTATTAACAGATAAATTTGGATATTTTGTCCATGGATATCTTGGCCGTTGGATAATTTGGTTTGGATATTTTGACCGATTACCGAATAGTTGGTTTGATGTATTTGATTCAATGTACTCGTACAATTTATGGTAGGTATTTACTATTTAAAGTGTAAACTGTACAGCATTCAGTGAGTAAATTTTGGAAATCTTAAAAGAGGGTGTGGGGGTCAAAACTCAAAACCCAACATTTACGTATACTTTTCAATGGCTCATCCCCTTCCTATATAACAATTCTTAAATATGCCACTGAGTGCGTAACATCTCAAATTTACGCTCAGCAGATCACGTTTAGTTCCCTTAGTTTAAAAATTAGAGTGTATCATCGACCCACTATAGAACTTGATGATAAGAACATACCTAATCCGTGTTTTTATGTTGGTTTTATACGATACCTAGTTCAATTATTTAGCAATATAATATAATATATAGAGTAAATAAAAAATGCTCATAATTCACTTAAAAACTGAATAATCGTAAAAAACCAACATAAAAACACGGATAATGTTCTTACCATCAAGTTTCATAATAATAGGCCGGTATTCAGTCTACTACTTTACTCTAATTAGTCTAATTCACCTTATAATTATTAATTTATTATAAGTACCTATATCATGACGGGGTACCGCCACTGGGTGACTTCCTCCTCCCGTCAATCAAATCTCATCAAATTTACTTATTGTATAACATGTAAATACTAAGACACTAAGTACAGACTACAGATTGCAAATATATAAATTTTTGTTCAATAAAATAATGTAGGTAGGTATATCATTAATCGTTATCCTGGATAGGTGAAAATCAATTTAATTTACCTATTTTGTGTTTCGGCGAATACGAAATGTGAATTAGGAATACCGTAGCCGTAACGAGTGGCGACAATGCACCGAAAATACGAGTTGACCGAAACTTTTTGATAACAGTAATGATTTTCGTTTTTCATTTTCAGTATCACACATTCACACATGACGTCTCGTTTCGATGTCCGTGGTTCGTACGAACTATGAAGGATTATAATTATTCTAAAATCTGAATTCTGAAGAGCGTTAATATGACGCGCGGACTGCACTCTAACTGGTAACTCCTCGACTTGGCTCAAACTTGTCCGAAGGCAGTACATCGCGTCTCGTCGATACTTGGCTCGGTTAATGCGGACATGTGTCTGTCGACGTCTCGTGCTTCGTAGTAGTTTAGCAGTCGCGTCTGTCAGCCATCGTAACGATCGGTACAATACGTCGGCTGGACCAACCTGTTGGAGTGCTTGTGCGAGTACCCTGCAAGTGTTCGGTATTGTTCCTACCTGAAAATGGCATTAAATCCAACGTCTACCAATGATCACACGGTCAACAAAGTGGCTGTGTGTTCGGCGATTTTTGCTGGTTTCGCGTACGTTGGATACTCGGTTGCAAAGAACGCGTTCGGGCGACGTCTGGGCCGGAAAAACGATGACGGTAAGTTGATGCCCGATCAGGTTAGCCTAGATAAACCTGAAATGGCCGAGACGGTTTTCCCACTTAGGAGTTAGGTATCTGCCAATTTCTATCAAATAACTCACTAATGTTTCCCGTCGTCTAGGGTGCCATCATGAGGATCAACGACTGTATTTTCGCCGTCTGTCTCAGACAACACAGACCGACGTCTTACTAGGAAACTTGGACACTTCGGAAACCACTCGTGTATTCCTACGACCTATGACTGTCCAGCAGAGAATTAAAGAGCTCAATTTACGAGCAAGAATGTTTGCTGACACAATGATGGCTATACAGACACCTTCAAACAAACATGGACCTAGAAGCTTACAGGTTTGTATTTATATTGTATTTACATGTCATTGTTCACATTCCATGATCAATAAAAATATTAAATAAAGTGAGTGTCGAGGTGAGTGTTAGTACAGTTCAGTAGTTCTCAGTTTATTCATGACACTCTTCGATGTATTAAAAAAATCTTGAAGCACCTTACTCACTATAATATGAATGAATGATTTACAATTTGAATAGTTTTGCGGCATATCTAATGCCAGTTTGTGGTACACCAGTTGAAAAACACTGGTTTAAATTATAGAATAGATGATATGTTATTCTAATTTCTCCTCTTCTATGACCAAAGTTTTTTGAGATTCATAGGCTAGTCAAATAAATTGTGTAAACAATTTTATTCATTGTAAATTAATGGTATTTAATAAAAAAAAATAAAAAGTATACATTTATTTGTGTTTTACAATATTTGTTATTTTTATGGATGACTTAATGAATCATTTTTATATTTATTTCAGTTATTAAAATTATTTCCAATTTGCAAACAGTTTTTTTTATACTTTGTTAATAGGAAGAATGTTTTACTTTGGTCCAATGTTTATTTAATAATTGGTAAAGAATTAATTCATGAAGAAATAATAGCCACTAGTTCCACGACATTGAACTATTTTGACAATTAGTACTTAGTACAATAAAACCACTCATATTGTATTAATAATAAAAATAAAGTAAAATTTCCTGTATCAAAACAACTATTTTTGGTTTGTTTCATTGTATATAGGTACAACATTTAAATTTTTTATAGAATTTCTTGAGATTAGTATCATTTTACGTTAAAATATTCTGTTTAAAATTTAATGATGTCCATTCTTACAAAAAAATTAGGATGAAGGTCTAAGAAGATTCATTCTTTCCAAATTAATAGTTTGGACCTTGGACCAAATCATTAAGTTTTAAAGGATTGAACTAATTTCTTTATCATTTAGCTAAGATTATTTATCATCTATAATATAGTACCTACTTAATTGCTTAGTTAGTTTAGGGTTTTTTAGTAATACACCTATTTGAATTTTTTTTTATTTCTATGTATGTTTCAATATAAATTTTAAAGTACTTAAATTATACATTTTCCCTTGATCCATTTTTGGTTTAAAAAAAAAAAATTATTTCAAAGAGTTGATTTAGGGTTTGGAAAAAAACCCATTTATAGCTTTATTGCACCTTCAATATTGTAAATATGCTTGAAATATTAACAATTAGTGCAGTAAGAGAGACATTTAATAAAAATGGTCCAACTGGACCAACTTTTATCTCTCTCCCATATGTACACATTGATAAAATTCTTTTAAAAGGTACTTGGAATAAGATAATACCCTAATACTTGTAAAAAAAAAAATATTCAAAATTGAAAATTGTTTTAAAAAGTACTTTATTGTTTTTGTTTATTCTTATATCAAATATGAGTCTTTTAAACAATACTTTTTTTGTTAGTAGTTTTAATTCATTAGTCTGAATACATTTATATATGTATTTGGTTACTGGAAATTATGATAATTCCTAATAAGAGAAAGAAATAGAGATGTAAAATGTACGTACATTTTTTTTTTGGTAATTTACCTAGAAAAATTTACTGTAAATTTTTATAATTTTGGTATGTTACCATAGGAACACCCCCAGGAATTCCTCTCTGCCGTATTTCCATGAACTCCTAATTATGGTAACATTTATTTTTTTTTGTTTACTGGATACTAATTATAAATATCAATTAGACAGGGTCATTATTTTGTATATTAATTATTTAAATTTTGTAACTGAGGTTCTAGTTCTAATATGTGTAAAAAATACTAAAATTATGTATAGAACATTTAAAAATAATCAGAGAAGTTTAACCAATGTCCCAAAGCCTTGAAAAGTTTAACATTACGTATATTTTAAACGTGGTTTATTATCTATATCTGTGATAAAATCAAATTTATATTAATTAATTGCCATAATAAATTGATCGTATCAGATATTCTTATGGTGTATTTGTATGTTTATGTTATGTAGTAAAAGTACTACACTATCAGTGGTTGTGGACGTTTTACATTTTATAATATAAAAACTACTCCATTTTATTAATATGTTATGACTGATGAATATTGGTTCCTTGAAGACATTTAATTTGAGGTTCCACATACTAATTTTTTTTGGCAAAAAAATATTTATTTACCTGTAAAAAAATAATTAGTAAATTTACTAGGTAAAAATATACCGAGCTTATATCTCTAGAATGAAATGATATCATTGCCTAGTACATTTTATCATTTCCTAACGATCAGTCAATGACATACACATTACACAGTAATATTAGATACTTATTTAGTAGAAGTAGATAAATTATTTAGTTAGGTATAATATAAAAAAACAGTTGGTTTAATTGTATTTGTTTATAATATTACTTTCATCTTACATAATTACCCTATTATCCTATGCAAAAATATCATTCTATGACTAGGGCAAGGCCCTAGCTCTTGAGTTCTCTCCTCAACCGTACATCCTTAACTCTGACCTAAGTGTATAGCTATATAATAATAACTATATTAATGTTTTTCAAAAAATAACTGTTTTTTTAAATGTAGTATTATAATATGTTACTAGGCCATTCAATTTTAATATTTTTAATTATTTTTGTTTTTATTGATATTGATTGTTATTATTACCTATATCTTATATATTAAACTTATTCTATAAATAAAAAGACTGTGATGTCAAAAGTTCTAGATTCCACTAAATATATAATATCTTATAGTCAATACAGGATTTTTTTTTAATATTTTAAAAGACAGCGATGAACGATTATATTGCCTAATAAACTAAAGAAATTATTAAAATTCCTAAGCAATATAATTGCATTCCTTAAAATAAATACAAATGTAATGCAATTATTTCATGGGATTTCTAAAAAAAAAAAATGGTTATTTTAAGGTCATTTTAAATTGAAAATTGAAATTCGACTTCCTAAGAAACCTAGATATTTTATCAATAAATTCAAACATGTATAAACAATTTAAATCGGACATTCCGAAGTATGTGTAATTTACCACTGCTTATTGGTCTAAAACGTATGAAAAATACGTGTGCTGCAGCCCCCTTAAGGGGGCTCCAGCTTATCATGTCTTAAGGAGTAATATTTAGGCAATTCACATAACATGAACATTTGGGCTATGTCTAAGTGTGAGTAGTAAATGAACATTAGTGTGGGTAATCCATTATCGCGTGCCTCGGACTATCAGTTGACAGTATTACGAATTCCCAGAACTACGTATAATTAAAAATTAAAATGCTATAAAAATGACATTATATCGCCGTTCCGGTAGAACAATGACGCAACTCCAAAATTTGGTATAAATGGCCTAAATGCTACAATGAGTTTAAATATAGCGTACGCATAATGTAGAAAAACGACGGAACTGTAGTTGTATTTTAGACCTCCAGAGGGCAATTGCGTCGTTGTGGAATTATCAGTTTGTACACTCATAAATAATTAACAATTTAGTTTTTTGGGTTTCCTGTAAAATTGCAATTATTGCAGTTGCGTCATTGTTCTACCGGGACGGCGATATTATGATCAATTGCGCGCGTTATTTTTTACTATTAAATTACCTACTCACTACTCGGCTTTCTATGCAATTCGCAAAAATGTACAATTACATTATACTACACAAGACTACAAGAGAATCACTTTGTTATTTCATAGTTATTAACTATTACATTACTTGACTTTTTTATACAAATAAAACCATTTAAAAAAGTAGTATTACAAACCATCACCGATAGGAAAAGGAAACTCACGTTCATATACTAAATCAATTAATTCTAAAACCATGTAACCAAAGAAAAAAAGTAAAAAAAAATTTCTTTTCCAAAATATTTACCACATTATTTTACCAATTTTAGAAATTATTATGTATATCACTTTTTTTATTCTGTAAATTTTGCAATCAATGTTTTTTATTTTAGATGCACTTAACTTACGTCTAGGTTTTCTCCCATAACACCAATCTTAACCCATTTTGTAAAAAAAAAATTAAAAAGAGCACAAAACTTACAGACAACCTTAGTGATCGGCGTGTTGTGTTCAAATCAAATGATTCATAAATCATAGCCCATAGGTAGTATTTTAGATTCTGAGTGAAACGATGAATGTATTGATTATACAATGATGTGTGTTTTTATATTTTTTTATTTTTTTATTTATTTTTGTGTCTGTTAACACGATAAGTAGTCGAAATAATGCTTCGATTTTCGACTTCAGTATCTTGTTCGATTGGAAAGTGAATATCGTTGGTGCATTGGGGAGGTCAAAATTTAAAATTCCCAATAGTTTTCACAAGCGCCGGGAAAAACAACATAAAAATTAAGGAAAAACTGGAATTTTTACGCAAAATCGGTTTTTGACAAAATCGAATTTGGTTTTTGGTGTAACATTAAAACAAATGACCGTAGATACATGAAATTTTCACTGGTTGTTTATATTTGCATTTTCTATACACGATAACATTTTCAAAATATTTTGATTTATTTTGAACTGTTTAGGGACATTTTCATTTTTCATTTTTTTTTGGTTTTTTTTCTAGAAATATCAATAAAATTTTATTTGTTGGTTAAAAAAACTTGAAAATTTAATAGAAGTCTCCTAGTATATTGTTTCAAAGGCAGATGAAAAATATTAAAAATCGTAAGTCACAGTTTTTTTTTTATAAGCATTTAAAGTTCAAAAATTGACAAAATATGGAAAAATCATGAAAATTAGCAAATTATTTTGAGTTAAGAATTCGTAAAAATTTTTCTTCTTTAAATCTAAGATTTGAAAATCTAATAACAAGATTACTCATAAGATTGTCTACCTTTATCAATAAAAAAATTTCTACCGGAAAGTCAAATTAAATTTTTACGAGCGTTTGAAATTCAAATTTTTACAACATTGGATATTCACTCGATTTCTCATGTGGCAATTTCCTTTTTTTGTTGTAATTAAAAAACGAATTACTGTAGATACATAAAAATTTCACTGAATGTTTATATTAGCATTTCCTATACACCATACAATGTAGAAAATATTTTGACTCTTTTTGAGCCGTTTACGGACATTTTCAGTTTTCAATTTTTTTAGTTTTTTTTTTCTATAAATATCAATAAAGTTTTATCTGTTGGGCCAAAAAGTGTAAAAATTTAATACAAGGCTCCTGATATATTGTTACAATATCAGTTGAAAAATATTAAAAATACATAGGCACAATTTTTTTTTATAATCATTTTAACATCGAATTTTGACAGAATTTTTCAAAATCTCGAAAATTATTAATCATCGTAATTAATAAATTATAAAATGTTCAGTTTTTATAGCTAAGGATTGAAAATTTAAAACAAGATTCCACGTAAGTAGTTAATTCTCTTACCGAAAAATCTAAAAAATATACAATCACAGTTTATTTTTATAGTCATTTAATGTTCAAATTTGGACGAAATTACATATTAAAAAAAACCTAGTTATTTTGTTGTGATTATATAATTTTATTCGTGGGTACCTACTTGAAACTTCTAAAGTGCACTATTATATATATATGATAGTATCAGGGTTTGTTGTTGGTGTATAACGTGTAACGTGTTATAAGTACCTAATGGATATTGTGATAATGTGATATGATTAATTTGGAATTTATTATAGGTCAATTTTTTTTTAATACCATAGATATGTATATAATTTGTCTTAAACCTAGACTGACATACCGTCTTCGCTCAGAATCGTTTTTCTTATACAATGATATTGTATCATTGAATTCAAATTTAATAGCATCAATTATACAGTGACCCACTTGTAACCTACTGTACAGCAGAACGACATCCACTTACCCACCTTTTTTATACTTTGTATTTCCTTAAAATTTAAATATATGTTTGTTGTATTAAATTTGGAAAAATATAATTATTATTACTGACTATTATTATTGTCGCCCATTAGTAATGTTCTATACCTATCCAATAATCCTTATCGGCTAATTGATTCTGACTTTCCGAGAATCTATCGCGGCCCGTCGGCAGCCGCAAGCCGCCGCGTCGCCGAAATAAACTATGGCACGCGCAGGAACATGTCAATTCTTTACGAAAAATGAAATATATTCATGTTTGCAATGCTATAAAAACTACTAAAAGCGGTAGTAAATTAAACATACTTCCGGAAGTCCGATGTAATTTTGAAAATATGGTTGAATTTATAAAAAACTTCTAGACTAAGCTCTTTAGGAATCACTTTTTTGATTTAAAATTAGATGTGCCCAAAATAAATACAAATGTAATGAAATTATTTCAAGAGATTTTTGAAAAACTAATCGTTATTTTAAGGTCCTTTAAAATTGAAAATTGAAAATCGACTTCCTAAATAACTTAGATATTTTATATTTTTATCAATGAATTCAAACATGTATAAAAAATTTAAATCGGACATTCCGATGTATGTGTAATTTACCACCGCTTATTGGTCTAAAACGTTTGAAAAATACGTCTGCTGCGTTCCCCTTCCCCTTAAGACTTTTCATCATTTTCTAAATTGTCAACATTTCCAGTAACATACAAGGAACATAAGGTTAAGTTGATTTAAAATGTGTACCTATATACTATTTTAATTATTTCCAGGAATACACAAAAAAAAAAAATATTATAATAATATAGAATTATTTTTTGTTGCCTTAAACAGTTTAATTTAAAAAAAAAGTATTCAGAATACTTAAAAAGTAAAGTAGTTATTCCAAATTCAGTATTTTAAGTAGTTTAGTCTAATTAAATGTATCAATCATACAAATGTAATACTTCAATATATAGGTACTTTAAAGCAATTTTCAATATTTTACTAAAAAAAATGTTTCAGTATAATGTATAAACTATGTGTATTTTTTTACTTTTATGGATTAGGCGTCACCATGGAATTCACCTAGAATAATGAGTCCTGTAGATGCTAGACATATATTAGGAAGTCGATCCACTGAAAACCTAAGGCTGTGTGATAATTATGCATTGGAATCAAGTTTTGGCACACCATTAAGAAGAAAAAGTTCCAACAGGTCTTTAAGAAGAAAATCCCCACAACCAGGTGAACACAGACTTTCTGTAAGCCAGTCTAATCAAGATATGGAAGAATTTGAAAAGATTAACCAACCATCTTTGTTGAATAGGTAAATATACCACTTTGCATTAATGTGCTATTTGTTAAATAATAATTTAATAGACAACTAATATCTAATTTTAATAATTAAAATTTTTTTAGACCTATGGAACCGAATGAAGCTAAAAATTTATTATTATTGATGGGATCCAGAGATATTCTAGTACTTGAAAAAGTACTTGTGACTGTTAGTAATTTAGCAACATTTACTCCGAACCAAGTATGAATATGATTTGATTTTATAAAACTCCTCAATATAAAATATAAACACTTAATTATATTTCTCTAGATCAATATTTTTTAGTGTAGTAGAACAGATTTATAAATTAGACTTAAAATGTCTATATATATAAACATTTACTATTTGTATAGCTTGATAGAAATTTAAACTTTTTTAACCCCTAGACAATGTGCAAGAAGTATTAAAATAATTTAAAAATTGTTGTTATTAATCATGAAAACAATAAATCTATTTTGACAGTTGGGCCCTTAGCACCATATTTGTATGTACATTTTCTCAAACTATTGGAGATGTTCACGTGCTGATATTACAAACTTGAAAATAATTTAGTTTATTAATAGCATTTGAGGACATCTTTGGTGTAGAACGCAAATACTTATAATAAAAACTTATTTGTACAGACAAATTATAAGGTATAATCTCTATATACAAAGGACATCCAGAAATTAAGATTACAAGGGCCGTGTAAGACGTAATCATTTTATTTTTTCAAAATTTGCAGCTGTGACGTGTTGAAGGGTTCCTAAGAGTAAAAAATAAGCCATCAATCGACTAAGTCCATTACAAAATATTTTCAACCAGTTCATCCATTGCTCCACCTACCGCAGTTTTTGACTTAAACTAAATGTTAAGTTTGTGAGAGTGAATCCTTTCTCGATTTAATTTTGACTGATAACAAAACCCGGGTACACCTGATTCAAAAAGGCAGTGTCTACAGTGGCTGTATACTCTTGTCTGTGATACAAATAGTTTTCAGAGTGGAGGATTATGGCATCTGTCTTTTGTAAGTTAGAGCTTATTGGTGAATTTTAGGCCCAAACCCACCACCATCAATGATGCTCTATACTGTGAGAATCTTAAGAAGTTGAAAAAAATCAAAGATAAAGAGAAGGGAATGCTGACTTGTGGTGTGTTATTCCTTCATGACAACACCAGGCCTCATACTGCCTGGCTCACTCAGAACCTGCTCGTTACATTTGGATGTGTTATTGTTACCCACCCACCTTACTCCCCGGACCTGGTGTCATTAGATTACCATCTTCGGTAAACATACAAAAGCTGGTGCCCAGAATTCCAAAATGCATTGAAATTAATGACAATTTTTTGGAGAAATAATGACATCTTTTGGCATATTATATCCTGTACATTTCATTAAAATATATGCATATTTTATCTTTAACACTTGTTGTAATTTTACTTTCTGGAAGTCCCTCGTAATATTTTAATAAAATGAATCTTCTAAATTATTTATGAGAATTGTAATAAGATTTAAAATAAATTGGAATAAAGCGATTTTGACCATCCCTAAATAATATATTTATTATTTTTGTTTTAAGGAAGTAATGAGGGAAGCTGGATACTTGAGTCAACTTCAGCAGTTAATTTACCATCCTGAAGAATCTGTTCAAATAACTGCACTTGTGGCATTAGGAAATTTGGCTTTAAACAAAAATAATTCAAAAGAAATGAAGGTTAGATAAAAAAAAAATGGAAATTTAAGTTGTTTGAATTGATTTTTAATTTTAAAAGACTTAACTATACTAATTATACTTATGTGTATATTTATGTTTATATTATTAAATTAATGAAGATGTTAAAATGATTTTCAGGAGACAATTCCAATGTTATTAGCCCTAATGAAAATGATGGATTCAGATGAAATTATTTACAATTGTTTATCCACTATGACCAACATTGCAGTATTCCATATGTGGCATAGTGAATTGCAACCGGCTATACATACATTATATGGTTTATTAGAGAGTCAAAATAACAAAGTTGTTCTTCAATGCTTAAAACTATTAATCAACTTATCTTGTAATGATGATATGATTCCACATCTTTTAGGTGGACAAGTATGTTATTTATTATTGATATTGATAATGTGTGTGCCGTGTATTTATTTTTATCGTACTCCATTATTATAGATAGAAGTGTAATTAGGATGTCGTGTAAAATATGTTATATTCATTCATCTTCTATTATTGAAGATAATCATAATATTATAATATAAGATATTAATACATATTGTTTTTATTGTATTAGGCTCCCAAAAAACTACTGTCCATGTTGCACTTGAATGAAAATGAAGACATTCTACTTAGAGTTGTAACATTATTTAGCAATCTTACTGATGCCGTAAAAGCAATGGAATTGGATCCTGTATTAGATTTGCCTGTGGAAGACAAAGCCGCAGCTCCTGATACTATGTAAGTGTAAACATTGCACAAAGCTTAAATACATTTTTATTATGAATTCAAAAATCATAATTACATGGTTTTAATTTTTATCAGTCTTATGCTGCTCAAAAGTATGTTTAATTTCATAAACAAATTTTATATCACCCACTTAGCTTTGTAATCTAAACAAATATGTATAATTTAATCAAAATATGTTAGTTCAACAACATTTCCTATTTGAATACGGCATTATTTTTAAAAAATTTACTAATTATATGGAATTACATGATCATTGTTAGAAACCAGACTTTGTCCTAATAAAGGTTAAAATAAAATGTTTTATGAATTATGATGTTAAAATCTATAGAATTATTTTCCTTTAAAATTTGCTTACACAAAATTAATTGAAATTTTTTGATTTTTAGTTTCTATTGTGAAAATTATTTCTCTGTGATTATTAACAATTAATATTTTCAAAATGTTAGTCCTTTATTTTATTATAAATTTAAATTCCTTTATTAAATACTAGCTGATCCCGTGCACTTCGTCACCCGTTAAATGTATCAACTCAATATGACTCAAACTTTGTTCAATTCATTATTCAATATTCGGTGTATGGTGTTCAAAATTTATCTTATCTTTTCCGTTGTCCGGAATAAAAATTCTGAATCGCAGCAGTACATTATCAGGTAGGCAATCTACCTGCGGTAGATCGCGCACCCCGTGCTGTTTGTATGATTTAACTCTAAAGTATCAAAGTTATACCAAGTTTATTTTGATATAATACTGTGGATTAATTTAACAAATTTGGTTGCTCGTAAAAAATCGCAACTCTTAAAAAAATTATGATTGTTGAACTCCTTTTGGGTGTAACTTTCTGCGTTAAGTGCAACTCAGCCACCCTGGTAGGCAATGTTCAATAATTCAATTTGATACAAGCTTGTACCTGATCTGCCCGAATAACCAATGGCAACCAATAAATAAATGCTAATTTCTAATGTAGACTGTAACCAATAGCAACTATAAATAAATAAAAATAAAATTTCCAATTTCTATCGTGAATCTCAATGTCCCTGTTTCAGCACCTATTTAAAATGTGAATTTTGGCAAATCCTTTCTTAGCGCACGTCTACATCATAATAGCTATCTGTATGCCAAATTTCAGCCAGATCCGTCCAATGGTTTGAGCTGTGCGTTGATAGCAGTCAATCAGCTTACTGTTTTATATATACAGATATGGTTGCCATGGTAATATGGACACACACACTGACATACATTCATTTTTATATATATAGATTATAATTTTTAATGTTGCCTTTATGTTAGTTTTCATTGTTTGAATAAAATTAATATTCATGTCAAATAAAATGTTATCTAAGAATATAAAATTCCAGTCTCTAGTGAAAAAAAAGATTTTGTGCATTTTCATTTAAAAACAAAAACTGATAAGTCGGTTTACTGTATATTGAGTATCAAGTGTATCCAGTCCTACTCTCAATAATTTTGTATTGGGAGAGAACATAAACTATGTCTATTTTTCGACTACTTTGACATAATATCGAAAAATCGAATTAAGTAGGTAACACCATTATAAAGATATTTTATATTTTATCAATATTTCTATTGGTAAATTATTTTTATTATTAATATATTATAGGTAGAAAACATTTTTCCCAAAAACAAATAGCATTATATATTACTTATATAATAATTTATTTTTATAATATTACAAGTAGTTATCATCCATGTCAATACCAATGTGTCACAAAATGGTGTAAATAGCAGGTTACTGGTATGCCTTAAAATCAAACTAAATATTTAGAAACAATTTCATCAACAAATTGAATTTCATGTCTATCAAAAAAAAATTAATACTAATATACCTATCATTTAGAGTTTTGAGTTTTTACAAAAACTACTTATCATGAATCTTTTATTAAATGTTCAAGATTTGACTATAAAAATTGAAAATTTTTTACATTTCTAACTACAAAATAATTTACAAATTTTGTAAAATATGTACTTAAAACCCATGTAAAATAATTGAGTATTTTCAATTTTTTTTAATTCCTATGAATAAAACATGAGCAATCATGTTCTAAATTGTTAAGCTTTTTGACCAAGCATAAATATTTTAACAAACATAATGAAAAATTCCAAAAATGTTATTGTCTATAAAAAATGATAACCAAAGCAATAAATAAATGCTTAAATTTTCTATCCATTATGTTTTTTTTTAGAATTAAAACAAAAGATCAAATTGAGTAGAAATTGTTAGTTTATGTGCGAATATCCAATGTTGTCGAACTCCAATCACTCATAAGTTATAAAAAATGTATAAACTTATCGTGTATTAAATTGATATGTTATATATAAAAATAATTTCCATATAATCGTGGTTTTGATCAATTTCATAGATAAAACTATTAAACTTTAAACACAAAACAAAATATGATCAAATAAAAAAAAAATTGAAAACAAAATATCTTGTAATATATGACACATTCATCACTCTGTTCAGAAACTAAAAATTGTTAAAAACCAAAACTCCTTGGAACACTAAATGTATTTATACTAATACATTCTTCACTCTTCTCGGTATTTAATATATATATATATATTTATACCTAATCTAACTAGTTTTTAATGAAATAATAAAATGTAAATGTAAATGTTTTATATATCAGTTTGTTTAGCAGGTATGCTAACATTTATGGAGTTAACGTGGTAGAGAAAATACGCACAAAAAGCTTAGTACTGATGAAACAGCATAAAAATGAAGAGATTCGAGTACGTGCACAAAAAATCTACAGCGCTCTATCTGACTAAATGTATGTTGTTGTAAACAAGATTATTTTTTACTATAATTTAACAACATAACATTCCGATAGTAGTAGTTAAGTTAAAAAAAAATTATATCAACGAATACCTTGTTAAAAAGTAAGTTTCATTTTTAGGTTTATAAATATTAAACATTATTGATAAAAAACGACATTCTATTTAAACTATTTTAATTAGTAGCATAATGTATTATAGAATTTTTTATCACCTTTTATTATTATCACTGTTGTTAATAGCAATAATTGTGTGGTTTGCCACTTTGTTATTATGAATTAATGAGTTCCTAGTAATAAAATAATTGTAAATTTTTATGTAGTGCCATACATAGTTTAAATTGAATAAACTTTATCAAAAAATACTTATGAACATTTTGATGAATGTTTTGTTACCATTGTACTAACTAGTTAATAAAATCACAGGCATAATTTTAATCCAAAAAGTCTCAAGTATTATAAATATTTAATTTAGCGTTTTGCCTTAATAGTTTAATCTTCCATCAGAATTGCTATATATTTAATTCTCAAACTAAAATAATCATTATACCATAAATATTTCTGCTAGCATGTTTTAATTGTTAATTGATATATTTAATATTAATAAATAACTTTTAAGTTGACTAGAGACCAACTTTGTCAGTATTTATGTTTAATGTCTATACTATTTTCAATTAAATATATTATGACAGAGTTAGTTTTATTTTAGAAAATGCATTCTTTATGATAACTTATAGTACTAAAACCTCTAGATATATTATTTTTCTCATAAGAAATTTTTACTTGACATCTGTTTTAAATGTGTTGTTACTATTTTTATATTCAAAAACATTATGTCCACGTTATATGTTGAAAATTGTGTGCAACAAATAATATTAATAAGCTTCAAATGCACTGTTTGTCTATTATGATCAACTGTTTATTATTCTTATTGATGTTAGAAATAAATTATTATTTATTTTTCAATAATGTTATACATATAATTATGTTTCATGTTCATAAAATATATACGTTACAAAATTAATAATAACTATAAATAGATGTTTATTATTGTTTATTCCTGAGTCTAGAATCTAGACTATATTTAAGTACCTATGAAGTAAAACATGTTTTTATAAGTGCTTTGCCATTTCAAGATTATGACTAGTACAGTATAGTGTAGTACCTATATCATATGGTTAACAAAAAAGTATTGCGAATTTGTACGCCATACAAAATTATACTTTGTACAGGATAGTGTATTATACACAAAAAATAAACTTATTTTCAATGAATATTCCATGGATTTTATACCTAAATTGTGTTTGTGCTCGGGAGAATTTTTGATTGGGCACCCGTAGATATCTGCCATGCCCGGGTGGGGGATAAATTATTTGTTTTGAATTTAAATAGGAATATTAACCATAACTGTAATTTTTAAAAATATTTTTTTATATTCTGAGTGGAACAATGATTAGTGTTTTCTTTTGTGTTTATCGTCGCGTTTTAGAGCAGAATATTTGTTTCAGTCTTCAGACATGAAGGTGAAATTGATTTCCGGTAGCAAATTGTTTATAGTAAGCTATTGCAAGTCAACAGTATTAAATACTATAAAATAAAATATTCTGTACTGTAAAAATTAACAAATTACTAACTCGTAATTTATGTCGCACTCGGCAAAATCGCTTAAGGCTCGGTCAAACACAAAGCGGTCTGCCCGAGCGGGCACTGTGAATAATAGGTACAACCGACCGCTCCCCGCCGCCTTCAGCGTACCCGTACACCATGGCAGCCCGCTCTCTGTTTGACTGAGCCTTTAGGTTAACAAAACACAGGAACATAGAGTACGAGTATGTACTATGTACATTATTGGCATACACAGCAGTTGAGTATGAATCAAAAAGTAGAGACTATCAGACAACATTTATCTCTATATTTTTAAGTAACACTAATAATTTACTATAGGTCATGGTCATTGGCGAAAATAGTGTTTGAAATTTGGGGGGGCTGAAGCTCAGGTCTTTACTTGAAACTCTTATGATGCTTTTAAATTACTTAGTGAAATCATTAGTTTTTGGGGGGCTATAGAAACTTCAAGGGGGGCTAAAGCCCCCTAGCCCCCCTCCTATTTGCGCCTATGGTCATGGTTGAAATTTAATATAGAAGGTTATTGCATTTATATCCCTTCTAGATCAAACATTTGATGATAAAAACAAAAGTGGCAGCGTAAAGGGAACCAATAATAATCAATTATACATGAGGGGGAATTTTGAATTTTTTAGCTTTTGTCAGCGTGTTTTTGATGATAAGAAAGATTTATATTTTTGATATCCCTTTACGCAGACATTCTGTTTCTGATAATAACAATCTGAGTCAATATGCAATAACCTGTATATTTCAACCATGCTATAGGTATAATAACCTGCCTTAAAGATAATTCAATTGTTTTGACTTGTACTCTTACTACCCCTGCGATCTACAATGTACCACTCTTAAGGATAAGGTTACTCAGGTGATAGTGTACTGTATAATATTATTACTATTTAAGCCATTTAATAAACCTTGTATATGTTGCTATATCGTGTTTGATTATGTTAGTTTATTAAATATTAACACAGGTCATAAGTTTCTAGGATCTGTAAAATATAACTAATAAAACTGTATTTATATTGATTCAACAACCCAGTTCTCGAGACCGGTTCGTGTAATGGGAATAGCTAACCAACTATTCCTTAACTAGAGAGGATTATAATTGAGTGTAGATAAAAATTATATAAGATAAAAATTATGAATGCGGATGCTGGAGTAACGTTACGCTGGCATCCTAAGGTATATAATATTTATATATTTATTATATTTATATAACTACTATATAAAGGTTCCCCTTTAGGGGGGTGTACAAATTTTCAAAATGAGTTTACAAATTTGTACAAATTATATAACAAATTCTGGTACCGGTTTTGAGTAGATATTTTAACCTGCGGATGGCAGCGTAGCTAACCTGAAATGATGTACCTATGTCGGCTATATATATAAATAAATAGTAGGTATACCTACCTACTAATATCTACTATAAACTTACAGAAGTAACTAGATTGTTATTATCCATACGTTATATCTACAATATAGAAAAGCATTCAACTATCAAGAAGGTATTTAATTTGTTCATGAATGAATACCTACCTATAGGTATATAGGCCGTATATCATTTGCGCATCGTCTGTTTACCTGTGCGAAAATATCGTACATCGTTTGCGCATCGTCTGTTTACCAGCACCAAATTATCGTACATCATATGCGCATCAAAATTCTGAACAATAGAAAGGTATAATAATAATTGTACACAATGTAATATTATATAGATAATGAATAATTTAATATACATAGGCACATGTTTTTGTTCAATAAACATTTAAAGTTCAAATGTTGACAAAATTTATCAAAAGCTCAAAAATTTGCAAATTATTTTGTAGTAAAAATGTTTACACTCAGTTCAATTAGGCACATTACATGGTCATAGTTATAGTAAAAAATATACATATAATATATAGGTAGTTTGAGTAAAAATTAATTGAACTAAATTGTGTTCACTTCAATTAGGAATATTACCTACATACAGGCTACAGTCAATATAGCTATAAATTATAATACAAATATACATATAGTTTGAGAAAAAATAAATTGTACTCAGTTGAATTAGGCACATTCCAGTTATTTGATAGTTAAAATACAATTATACATAACTTAAAGTAAAATTAATAAAGCAAAAAAAGTTAAAATAATATTATAAATCAATACTTTTTATATTGTAATGTCCCATTATTCTTACAAAATTCTTATTTTGACTTACCTACTTCGTGTTTTTCTATATCCGAATCCGTCAATTGGAGATGACGTGTGTGTTCTCCGCGTATTTCCAACACCGTACGTCGGTATCCATCAATTTTTATTGGGGCATAGCAATCTTTTTTCGGACACATAAATATAATCTCACCAATTTTCAGAATTTTCCTTTCCGTATAAAAATACTTTTGGAAAATAGCTGCAGCTTTTCCACGATTTGAACTAATGAATTGTAATTGACTCATTTTTACATATTATTACGGTACATATATATTTTAAAACAGAAATACCTATACAATATTTAAAAATTGAATTTTATGATTAAAGTTAGAAAACAACTCGCTTTTGGGTATACACCTTTTTTTCAGTTCTATTATTAAATAATATTGATGAGCAAATTATGTACGACCTTTTAAACGATCCATGAGCAAACGATGTATAACCCAAAAATCAAACGATGCTCAACTGTCTTACAAAAAAGATCAAAAATAACAATAGTGATGCGCAAAAGACAACCGCTGAGGTATACTTGTTTTTACAAAAACTAAGGAGACAAGAATAATTGGAAAACAATAGCACATTACGTTTATGGATTTAATAGATTAAACCTAGAAATGAATAATAATATGTTATAGTTACCTATTATAGGTTAGGTATATAAATATTTTCGTTGTAATACCTACCCATTTACGATTTGCCATTTAGCAAACTTTGGAATATACTCACGGTTTGAAATTTGAATTATGTACAAAAAGCTATGTTTAGATAAATATCTTTAATTTACAACAAATGTAGCTATTAGTCAATAATAAGGGAAACAGGAGATAAGACAATATACCTACGTATATGTAATAACAAGTTAATTAAAAAAGTGTAACGAGGATTAATAAATATAATAGGATCTGCCTGGAGAATTTTGGAGCAGGGTTAAAAACCGTAAACCGGTTATTTATTCTACTGAGCGGTTTAGAAGGTGGTTGAACGGATTAACAATATATCTCTGAAAATCATTCATTTAGCATACCTATCCAGTAACCAGTACCTACAATCAGGCACGTATCCAGGGGAGGGGGGCACCCTTTTTTTGTGCACCGGCACATAATACATTATCCTTACAACTTAAATTAAAATAAAATACGTGTTATTCAAAAAATTATTGTGTTGTGGTTCAAAAATAAACAACTATAGAACGGTCAAATATTATTATCCATGGGTCGAATTATGACCGGCTGAGACAAGATTGATCATAAAACACCTTTTTTGAGACACGATTGAGCCAAATTGTAGGCCTATCAAAGGAAATCGGAATACAAAAGAAAACCTACAATAAAAAACTCTGCAACGTTGTCATTTTCCATTTTAAACTATACTATACAAAAGTATTTATTTAAATAATTATTATAATTCAAAATATAATATATCAAAAAAATACCATAATAATAATAATAATAATAATAATTATGAAAATAATAAAATCAAAATATGGTACGAATTAAAAAAAATACTGCATGGTTTATAACTTTATGAGTCAAGAATACTATAGAGCAGGGGTGTCCAACCTTTTGTGAAGACTGGGCCACATCATATATAGGTAGAAGTTATTGTGGGCCACATACTTTTTTTAATAATAATACATTCAAATTTAATGATTAAATTATAATCTATAATACAACAAAACATTTTTTTTATAATTTTACAATAGCGAATAATTAGCAGGAATATTTTTACAAGTATTAATATTTAATAATTCAATTATAAGTACACAGAAAAATATATTTATTTATAGTAAAAAAAGTTTTAGTTTAAAAAAGTTAAAAGTCATTAGTTTTTTTTCATGTGAAATTCGAAATTGCTTTTTTTGTGAAAGTAATGAATCAATATCTGGATCGATTAAAGTTGTGGAAATCCTTAAACAACTTTCAAGGTGCATGTCTGATATAGTGGACCGATTCTTACTCTTTTTGTTTTTCATTCTTGAAAACAATTGTTCTCAAATGTAAGTACTGCCGAAAAGTGCGAGAACATGAATAAGGCATGGTCATGAAGGACTGGATATGTTTCTTTGGGTAGATATAATTTATAAAAATCTAATAAAGATGATTGATTGAATTTTTCTTTGAATTGAATATCTGATTGCAACTCAATGCATTCCATTTGAAATTTAGTTTCCACAGCAGTAATATCAACTGAAAATGGTGTTGCGAAAATAGCAAAGAGTTGACTAGTCTTACAAAAATCTTGAAAACGGGTTTCAAATTCTTTAATTAAAATTAAAATCAAAGAACCATATTTCTCGCTATTCTTGGGATTGTATTCGGCCAACACAGGGAAATACATAAAATTATTCACCTCAACTTGACTTTGCCATAATTTAAGTTTCAGCTCAAAGGCAGTTATTATTTGAAACATATTACTAATGAGTTGATTGTTACCTTGAAGACGTACGTTTAACTCATTTAAATGAGTAGTTATGTCAACTAAAAAAGCTAAATCCATAAGCCAGTTTTCATCTTCACACTCTATGACCAGGGTCGGACTGGCCACGACCACAGGTCCGCGATCGCGGACTGGGCCCCCAGCTAGTTTGGGCCCCCAAACTTCATGTTCATAAATATAAAATTAAATTAAAATAAGATTACCATTTATAGTAACTGTATTTAAACATGTCTTAATATTTTGAAAATTAAGTTTCGTCTATGCACTCGGACCTACTCGTTAAATATATACCAATATAAATACGCCATACGGGACTGCTACGCAGGCCGGTGTCAACTAGTTATTCACAGTTTGCTCCGAGTCACGAGTTGTTCGTATCAACGCACCGGAGCTTAATAAAGGTGTATAAAATACTTAAATACGAGTAACTGTTGTAAGTGCCTTCAACGAGTGTATAAAGTGTATTTAAATTGTTGTTATTTTTATTTACCTTACGGTTTAAAATGAATACCAAATTGAAAAGTGGTGCGGAAAAAAGGCGCCTAAAAGAACAACAAATGTTACTCAAGGCCGGTTCTGACCCAAAACAAAAAAAAATTATCTTTTCAAAGGTAATCACGAATGATAATTCAAACGTTTCATTTTCAAATGAAAATAAAGTTACTAATGGTATCATTTCTTCTGAATCAAAGGTAAAATTAATTACTATAATGTAATAAGTATATTATTGACTATTGTATTCTAATTTTCATTAGAACAAACAAAGCACAGATAGAATTTGTGAAACAGATGCTTTAGGTCAAAACAACATACAAAACATTTGTACTTTAGCTGAACAGTGTAAACCGGGAACAAGTTATGAAGATGGAGAATCCGCTACTCAGGAGTCTAGTTATAATTTTGTTATAGGTAATATTGCATTTTTTGGTGCTACAAGTTGGTGGAGCAAAGACAAAGCATTAAGCTCAATTATAAAATTTAATGAAACTGACATAAAAAATTCATGATTTTTATTATTTTTAAATTTTTTGCTAGAAATAATTTCAAATCACTCTACATTTGATTCAAAAACAAAATTCACTGCTCGCACTCTATTACAAAATTGGTCTAAGTTTGATGTGATTATGACTGAAGCAATTTATCTGGACATATTTAGTATTAGCTCACCTATTTCTAAGTTTTTTCAATCTCCGTCGTTAAACTATCTAACTGCTTTTAATATGATTAACAACTTGCATAAAAAAATTAGATCTAGAAGAGATAATGCTGATAGTATATTCATTAATCTTTATTCTAAAGTTAAACATTTTATTACAGAAATAAATAAAGAGCTAGAGTTAAATAGTAGTAATTTCACTATAAAAAATGATTTTAATAAGGGAAAATCTGTAGGTAGAGTATCAAAAAAAAAATGTCTGGTGAAGAAGCAACAGATGAACGGCCAAATATTTCACCAACTGATAGGTTTAAAATTGAAACATTTAATTATATACATGATATTTGTGCAAACAGCTTGGATAAACGGTTTATAAGTAATACAAAATTACTAAGCGATTGCATTTGCCTGGATCCTAAACATTTTAATTCGATAAAAAATGAAGTACCTGCAAATGCGTTACTAGAACTTTCAATTCTAACAACTATTGATAGAAACACACTTGCATATGAATTACAACAATTTGCTTTACAGTTTAATTCTATTACTAAAACTTTTGAAGCTACTTTCACATATTATTTAACTGAAGACTCCCAATTTCCTATTTATGAACATGAACTAGATTTAGACGAAGATCAAGCATCCGTAATTGATCCATCCAATAATTGTAAAACATGCAATAACTGTTTACGTTGTGCTTTCAATGTGTTACATAATATAGTTCAACAGTGGTTGTTTTAACAATATATATTATGCATATAAATTTGTATTAACGTTGCCATGTACCCAAGTTACTTGTGAAAGAACCTTTTCCAAATTAAAAAATATCAAAACAAAACTAAGATCAACTATTTCCCAAGAAACAATGGAAGCATTGTTATTGATGAATATAGAAAGAAATGTTGAAATTGATAAAGAAAGTGTAATTGATTCTATTTTAAAGAGTTCTAATGAACTTTCAAAACTTTTGTTAAATTGAATTGTAATTTATTTAAGTTTTAAAATTATTTACATTTAAATGTTTATTATCATATTATGCACCTATATATTGTTTCAAATTTGTTAAAGTCAAACAAATTGTTATAAATAAAAGTATGTGTATAAAATATTACACTTTTATCTAAAATGTTTATCATTATAATGTGTTTTTTTTTTTATTACATATAATTGTTATCTTATTTAAATACAAAAATGGAGAAGTAGAGAGCGGACTAACAATTTATAGTCCAACTTTAGTAAGGCAGTAAGGGCCCTTTCATCAGATCGCAGACTGGGCCTTTTGTTGCCAGTCCGACCCTGTCTATGACAGGTTTTCCATTTGACGAAGAAGATTAAACACTAATAACGTTTATCTTTAGGCCCGATGCACACGTCCGTATGTAATATAAGATATGATGCCGCAACGGTAAAAACCCGGACGTTATTTGATGGCTGGTTTATATTTTTTAAATAAATTTGTTCTCGTAATATTAATATATTATGTATAATTAATTCATGGTTTTAAAATTGAAGTGATGGCCGCATCAAAATCTATCGCGGGCCGCGTGTTAGACACCCCTGCTATAGAGTATGGGTGATCGAACACTGATATTATTTAAATGATAATTTTGGAATTGTATCTTAATTTATTAACTTATGTTTTCCTCTAATTTTAAATTTTTAAAACTTCGGAACTTTATTGCTCGCTTACTAACCGATAACATTGTCGATCAAGCTGAGGTGAGCTCACGGCTCGCGTCTGATATCATAACAATTATTGGTGTAATAATACGTGAAAATAATAAATTACAAAATTTCGGCCACGTAAATGTGGCAACATCGCATAAAATATTCCATGCTCAATCGTGTTGCTAAAAAGGTATATACTATATGCTAAATCGTGTTGCTGAAAAGGTATATGCTCAATCGTGCTTTACCGCGGAGACCAGACGGCCGACACACTATCACGTCAACAATGTCGTATAACGTCAATTATTATCGAACAATATTATCGCAGATATGTGATATTTGTACATGTGACCGGAAATCTCGGGTTTTATAGTTTTATACTTTTATGAGATATTAATGATACATGAGTATAGAGTGCGACTGTGGGAGACAAACACGAATTCCGTTTTGGCATAGTTTTATATAGGTAATAATATATATTTTGACGTTATTTTAGTATTTTTTTTTTTTTTTACTTAAGTATTTGTATTAATTGTCATGAAGCGAGGGGCATTAGACCATTTTTTCAAACCAGCAGTTAAAAATCCTCGGTTAGACAATGACTCGAAACGTGAGCTTGAAGAAAATACGACTGTCACAACTGAGCTTACTGTGGATGTAAGAAATGTGAGTACTATTAACATGGATATCGGAACGGTCTCAACAGAATTATTTGAAAAAAAAATTATACCTCCAACAATGATTTATTTAAATCTAACGTTATGAATTTCCTATATGTACCTACTGCGACTTATGATTTTCCTGTTCGTGAATTTAATGGAAAAAAACTTAAATTTCAATATAAATGGTATTTTCCGAAGATCGTATATCTAAAAAAGTGGTTTGTTCTGAATTTTTATTATGGTGTGAAAAATGGGTAAATATAGAAAAAAAACCCACTGAAATTATGGATATTTTGGATGCATGTGATGCATAGTTTTACCCAAACATACTTTTTTTATTGAAAATCTTGACAACACTACCAGTTTCTACAACAGCAGTTGAATACTCATTTTCAACACTAAAACGCTTATAAACATTGCTTCGTAATAAAACTGGAAATGAGCGTTTAACGGGACTTGCTCTTATGTCGGTACATTGGGAAGTGTCTATCTCTACAGACGAAGTGTTGGATGTAATGGCTCAAAAAAGCAGAAAATTAATATTATTTACTTCAGTAAATTAAATTATTTAAATAATAATAGATTGTATTGTAACATGTAACTAGGTTTTAATTTGTCAGCTTATAAAAAAAATATAAAAATATATATCAATTAAGCATAAAAATTGTACTAACATTTATTTCGACATCCCCCCCCTTCCCCCCGAAATAAAATCCTGCCTACAATGAGGAACAATTTTTTTTTGTACCAATTACCTTTTAAGAATTTATCTTTTATTTTAATTTATCGACAAAACAAATTCGAAGTTTTATTTTAAATGACTGCATCTATTACGGCCTATCCTCAAGTCCAAATTCTCTATTGACAACAAATTATTAATATATAAATCAATGTTAAAACCTATCTGGGACTATGGCATCCAAATATGAGGATGTTCCAAGCATTTTCTCAAATATGGACTATACAAGCCTTCTAGTATATTTCCCTTCATCAAATAACATCTACACCATGGTACGTCTCAAACCTCTCACTACATAAAGATCTTAAAATCGAAACAGTCTCTAGAACATCTAAAAATTACTATAAAAAATTCCACGCCAAAACAGTTAATTACATAAATCCGTTGATTACTAACTAGTCAGTGAAATCATGCCAAATAACCCTACTTCGATTAAAAGGAGATTGGTGTCGAGATCTACCGAATCCCGACTTGCATTACTTAAAAAAAAATAAAACTTCTCTACCTCAAGTTAGAGGGTATCTAGTGTGGTGGGCATAACTCCTCACGCCATTTATATTTATATTTACCTATTTATTTATTTTCATACCTTATATTAACTATCAAATTTACTTATTGTATTGTATGTAAATATTACAGATTGTAAAAACTCTTTTTTTATCTAATAAAAAAATTATAACGTACCGACCTATATATTATTATATTTTATGTTTATGTCTAGGATAGTAGGATAGGTACTAGTAGTATGTATTACCTTAATTATCTGCAGGTTGCAGAGAATACTTAATATAATACTTAATACTATTATAATTCATATAATTAATATGATTATTTA